ATTCATATATGATCCAAGTTGTGAGCCACCACCTTGTGCCAATATAAAAACAATAAATATTTGAAATTTATATCTAAACTTGTTTATACAGAAATTGAAAATAATTAGAAAACGAAAAATGAACAAAATTTAGCTACAGCTGCTGCTATTGAATGCATGTTGGAATTTATATATGCACGTACAGTATCGGTCATATCTATAGCACGCCATTTCAAAGTGATATAGTGTGCCACTTATACTTATTTATTTATTTTTTAGAATTTTCAATTAAAATACAGTTCTTTCTCTAACAAACCCCATATAAACCCAAGTTTAATAATTTGTAGAAAACTTCCAAAAATGGCAACAAATGTTCACCTAAGTTTCAAACTTTTTTCTCGGAATTGTTAGAATTTTTTTGAGTACACATTTTTTAGCCACTGCAATTTTAGTCTGATAATGTGCAAATTTGAAGTGGCTACGAATTACCGTTAATTTTTTAGATTTTTTTTGTCGCATTGGCTTTCATATAATGAATAAACTCAATTTATTTGTATATGGATGTAAACCGCAACACCTTCGGCGAAAAAAATTCTAAAAAATCACCGTTAACTTTCAGTCACTTGAAACTTGCACATTGTCAGACTATAATTGATTGGGCTATAAAACTGTGTATTCAGAAAAATTCAAACACTTCCGAGAATAAAGTTCGAAATTTAGGTGAAAATTTGTTGCACTTTTTTGAAGCTTTTTTGTTGCTGTTTTATGAACACTGCAAGCAAGGCAGCCAGTGCCACTCGAACTACCCGCAAAACACGAAAGTTAACAAATAACACACTGGAAAGATTTAGTGATGTGTGTCATGACCAGGGAACGGATTTTATGGAAATTGCCTTTTTTTCTGCTAAAGAGATAGAGTATATTCGATTAAGAATGTCCACGATTTAGCTTTCCCTGATTCCATATATACACATTTGATGTTGCCTTTTTTAAGATACTTGCCTTTTTTTGCCTTTTTTAAGATATTTGCCTTTTTTGCCTTTTCTACCTCTAAAAAAGTGATTATAGCATTTACAATATTTTTTTAGAGATAAAAAATATACACATGCCCATGCGACTTATAGAAGCGCAGGGACCTCTTGCCAAGTTGGTGTGGAAAAATTCAAAGCAGCTTTCTCAGCTAACGTAGGTTGGAGACAATAAGGGGTGTGGATAAAATTGTAAAGGGCGAGGAAAACGCCCTTATTCCTGATAATATGAACGTTTCAAACGTTCCATATTTAAATTGGGCTCCACTTGTATCAACTTACGTCGAGCGCACATTTAGTACATTCAAGGCTTTTCTTCGCGAAAATCGAATGAAAATGCTGCCAGAAAACGTCAAAATGCATCTTGTGGTTTAATGTTACTACAACTATACAGATTAAAGTTTTATGAGTTAGAAACTCGAAAGGATAAAATAGTCAAAGATTCAAAGTATAAATTTTTCATATAATGAAACTAATTCATAATTTTTCTCTTTTTACTTGTAATATACACATTTCTAAAATAAATGAATTTTTTGATTGTTCATCGTATTTTCTGTCTTTTTTTAGTGCCTTATTTTGCTTTTTTTGCAATTCCTAGTGCCTTTTCCTGCCTTTTTCGCTATTTTGTTTTACCTTTTCCAGCTTATTTCGTTATTTTATTTTGCCTTTTTTATAGGTTTTTAGGTCATAAAAATCCGTTACCTGGTCATGACATATAATTTTCACAATTTTTACTTATAGTAAAATTATACAATGTTTTTAACAATTACAGTGCCGAAAATTAAAGAACGAAAATAAAGAAGCGTCACAACCGATCATAAACAAAAATACATCGATTTTTCGCTTTGCTTGATGCACATCTCCGACTTACTTAAGTTCCAGACAAAAGTTGACAGCAAACGCTAACGATAGACTGACATTTTGCATAAGCAAATTTCTTAAGCAACATATTTAAAAAAATGGCTCATAAAATCGAAAGCGAATTTTATTTTAAATTAATATATGCTGTTCGCGATCGCCCGTGTTTATATGCGAAAAAACACCTACATTATTACAACAGAGTTAAACGTAATGAAGCCTGGCAAGAAGTGGGCGCAGCTACGGGTAGGCCAGGTATAATACATATAATTGAAGTGAGAATCGTTATAGCAGTAGTATGTGTATAGCAAGTCCAAAGTAATTTGTTCCCGCAGGAAGTGACTGCAAAGCGCGCTGGAAGTTGTTACGAGAAAGGTTCTGTAAGCAAATGAAGAGAGCTGATGGTTATTTTTCGTCTGACACAGACCCGTTTAATGCGCATGAATGGGAATACTATAAGGAACTGCTATTTTTAAAGGAATCTATTGTACCGCGACGGTAAGCTTTTACCTCTTTGCAACTAAAGTTGTGAGTAAATACTTTTACTACTATTATACATATTATACAATTTGCTTGTAGTTCAAGACTTGGTAAGTGCGTACGCTCCAGCTCAGAAGAGCCTGCAATGAATGAAGTATTTATAAACGTAAATGCCATAGCCGAAGAGGACTCCTGCTCGTCACATTCAAGTTATTCAAATTCTTGTGAAATTCCGAACAAAACGTCAAAGTTCGATTTAGCGCCATTGATAATTGAACGTGAAACGGACGCAGATTTAGGCGATTACGATAAACCAGAAAAACTGCAAAACAAAAGCGTTAGTACTAAAAGCAGTACACCGGTTAGTGGTGACACAGACAATACAATCGAAGAATTATTTGTAAAGAATATAGCGAATTTAATACGAGATCTGCCGATAGAAGTGAAGGATCGTTTCCAGGCTGGCATGTATGCGGAAGTGTTCCGTTTACGTGCACAATATCGCAACTTCTAGAATAAGCTATCTTAAACGCACCTACTTCTTTAAAGGCTGCCTTTCATTTTCAACTCGCACTTGCATTCTTAATTAATTTTGTACCTTGACTATATACTGTATATGTATATACTGTTCAACTGAATCATGAAACGAATATTGAATTAATTTGTCTTGGTTGCTCCCAATCATTATTCAAAAACATATTGATTGAATCATGGTTCCCTGTAACCAAAAACCCACAAGTGTATTTTCATTTACGATGAGTCTTACATTTTGTAGTACATTTGAATTATTATATTTGAAAGTATATTTACCTTATGTAGATCCTCGTGAAGCCCGTGCTGGTATGAAACCAATGGTTATACTAGCTCCAGTTTCTTGCAATTAGATGCCGACATTCACTCGAGGCACAGGCCCTCGTTTAGTCCAAATAATACATATGTTTCAAATAGAATTTTTGAAGTACTGTTAGCAACTCCACCGTTAAGTTTAATAATAAATATATATTTTAAGTCAGAAATAATTGTTAATTTTATTAACAAGCAACGACGAGGAACTAAAATACATGTTGAATTCGGTTTTGCACTCTGTACTCGATAGTTTGTTGAAAATTTAACAGTTTTGAGGCACATGTAAACAAAAACCAGGAAGCAGTCAGCTGTGAACGGAAAAGTGTTGTTATCTTACATGAATCATGGTTACGGTAAGGTGATAAGAAAAACACAATTCGACGAGAAATTATATCTTCAATATATAAATAATCAACGACTTACAACTATCACCTATAAGTAACTAAACTGTTTAAAAACAAAAGAAAACCATTACAGATTAAACCATTTACACAATTTCCGTTGGTTAAAACTATTTTGAATAATTACTAAGGGGACTTTTTTATGCCCAGCGCTTCTTATTCCGGCCTTTCCTGTAAGATATACAGCATTGTTACTGTAGCCAAGAGCAGGGCTGCCACTTTAGTAAATTCTTACCAAACCTGGTTGAAAAAATTTGAGTTGGTAAATTTGTAATATTTTTCTCATTTATTATTTTTTTTGAAAAACAAATAAACCTTATCGTTTCTGTTTTATTTTTCGCAGATATCTTTATACTACAAATTTCTTTCCAAAAGTTTAGTCTACTTTCTTATTAAATTTCGAACGCTTTAATATACCCTTTTTATATACATACATACAAATGTATATCGATGGAAGGCGAACATAACGTCCTCCATTCAAAACTCATTTTACTGGAATTTCTAGAAACTTTTGATTGCCTAAATATTTCAAATTATTTTTTAAATAAAAAGAAAAGTGTAACTAAGCACTATGATTGTTTGCAAAATTAAATCAATAATTGGCAGTAATTAAATGGATAAAAAACCAAAAAGACTGAATGCAAACAATTCAAAAAAAAATAACAAAATCAAATATTATAGGCTATACAACTTCATACCATAAATTATTCTAAAAATTCAGAGTAAAAATTTCGAAATATATAATTTTTTTTGAATATTTCTATATGCTGTATTTAGCTTGAATCCTTGATTTTTATAGGTTTGGTTAAAGCGTAAAAATATTCTTAAAAAAAAAAATTAAAAAAAATTTTACTTGAAAAACATAAAAAAAATCACCAAGTGCTTTTTTGAGTCACTGTATTTGTCCATTTAAACTCCAGTTAACGTTTTTTCAAATGACGAAGTTTCGTTGTTGCCTTTCGTTTTTCGCTTTTGGTTGAAGGAAACTGGGAATATAGACCAAGTGGAGGGAGGAAGAGAAACGACTGGCGTGATTTTTTTAACTCGCTTAGGCGCAAGGCACATTGAACAGGTAGTATCAGTAGAGCAGCTGATTTGATTTTATTTTCAAATTATTTGGTCTCGAAAATGGCGTATATTTTTAATTTCTTTTCACAAAAATTCTAGATTGTTGAAATCTATTTGCTTGTGAAACCTTTTTCCATATCAAACAAACAATTGAATAGCAGCTTTTGACACGTTCCAATGTTTGGCAACCCTGGCCAAACAAACAAAAAATAACAAAAATACGAAAAAATTTACCAAAAATAAGTCTTTTCTCCCAACAAGATATAAAGAAGTTGTGAACAATAACGCAGTTGTGAGAGCACCGGCTTCCCACTTTAATAAATTATGACCAAAGCAAGTTGTAGAGGAATCAACGAAATGGTGCAAAAGCAAATGGAAATAAATACATCTCACAATAAGCTAGATTCATGCCATGTTCGTCGGAGCTTTGCGGCGGCGCGGGCCGAAAGAGCCAACCTTCAATCTTGTGGTAGCTACGGATTCAGTCGAAAGCCTACTGTTGACGAGTTTGTTGGTGCACTTGAAAAGTAGTCAATTACCTTCATCCGATACAAAATTCAAGTCACTTTTATTGATTTAACAGAATATTCGCGTTTGGGTTTTTGTGTTAAAGCAGTTGGGAGTTTGTGCCTTAATGATTTTCTTCAATCGCACCATGGAATACCTGCAAGAGCTTTACACAAAAGTCTCCGGATATGTTTACGGCGATAATAGCTGTGCAAATACGTAATTATACATATTTTATAATGCTAGTGTTTCGTAATTAATGTGAAATGATGCTGTTTCCGCTTGTTTGACGTTTTCTAACATCCCCCGCACAACTAGACCACGCAAAGTTGTTGCTTTTGGTAACGTGCTGCTAGATCACACCGCGCAGCTTCAGAATGACGAAACAGATTTATTGGAACGCTTTCAAATACCGGCAGAATCGAAAGGCGAGTTAGATGCAGAAACTTTATCCAAGTTAGCAGCTGAGGCTGCCGAGCGGTAAGTGTGCAATTGCCTATTGATCAGCTGGTTGTTAATATTGACATATTTTATATTTGCAATTGTTTATATTTTTGAATGTATTGGTGCATAGTGTACAATGTGAAGTGAATCCCGGCGGTTCCGCTTTGAACACAGTGCGTATACTCAAACAACTCGGCACAGATGCGCTTTTCATTGGTGCTGTTGGTGAAGATAAAGCGGCAGAGAAGTTGAAAGAGATTTTACAGGAACGTGAAGTTGAAGTAAGGTGAGAATGTAGGAATTCCCAGTTGGCATACAAAAAGTGTGCGTGACTAAGTGTTATTATGTACTTTCAAATGTATTTACTTACTACGTACATTTGTTCAAACTATATTCATAAATATGTATGTACATACATACATATGTATATAGATATTTATGTATGCATATATGTATATACTATGCGTCATTAAAAAGGCGCTATCAACCAATTTTGTTCGCGTACATATCGCAAATTGCGTACTTTCCACTAAAAAATATTAACACCATCATTGTTTAGCTACGCACAAATTCTAGTTGCATCTACTGTGCGGGCACGTACAACTAAAATGAGACCCCGCATTTGAATAGTCACGCTCTGCAGCGTGGCGTGTGGTAATTCAAGTCACGCCTCGGTAAATAGGTAAAAATGCCTTACAAAGGGTTCAGATCATGTCTTGCATTTCCGCCATTTGTTCAAAAAGTTTTTGTTTGCCCTGACTAAAATTTCATTTACTTGCACATTCCACTGCATTCAAATAACGCTCTGGATAGTAGAATTTATTTGGTAACAGACCCCAATTTTTAATACATGATGGCATTTTTTTTTTTATTACACTTGACCGCCCACTAATGTGAGCCCTTTAAACTACTGCACGTTTCGTAGTGCCATTATCATGTTTTCTTTGTTCCATGCATTGGTAATGGTTTCAAATACCGTTGTACTTCTCAAATTAACTCTGTTGCATGTGTCATTGACTCACGACTTTTTAATCCCTAGCGGATTCTTGTTTCATATTTATGAATACATTTATACGAATGTTCATTACTGTATGTGCACTTTAATATCAAGGTACATGTGAAAATTATCTTAATCTCAGTTGTTTGTTTTACATATGTACATATGTATGTATGTATATACTTATCTGTTCACATTATTTAGGAAAGTATATAAAAAGCAACAAGACGCAAAAATGCTACACCATTTATTCTCTCAGAAAATCCGGGAACGTTTAGTTGATAATAATATTATAAAGAATTGTTTAACTCAGAGTAGTCATAAATTTCAATATACATAAATACTTATACAAATACAAATTCTAGAATGGAAATTAAAATAGTACATGCATTAAATTAGATTTGCGCTCATTATATGTCTTACGTTTACTTAAAGTAATCCCTTGGTTGCAAAAAGTGACGAACTCCAAATTTAAAAGTTTGCTCGTAGAATTTAGGTACATATTTTTAAGTTTATAGAAAAATGCTTGCAAATACACCAATCGTACGTGTCTTAGGCTAAACATTTCATCTGAGTTTTTTAAAAAATATATATATTAAATATTGTCTAATATGAACATTCCTTTTTCCATTCGTTTGTTGGTGTAGACGCCTTTTCCATTTGTGAAACCGCATAACTTGTATATTTCCACATTTAAATGGGCAGCAAGCGGGATTTAACTTCAAAAAATGAATAGATAACCTATATGGTTGCCACTTTATTTCCATCAAAGTCACGATTTTTATATTTATTTAACTAGGCAATTACCGGAAGCGTGAGAATTCGCAAACAATAGCGTTCTTTATATTCGTATATTAGTTTATTGAATTAACTGTATATTATGACGTAAAATATTAACTTAACACATTAAAATTCACCAAACTCTTTCCCAGACTCGCCACGGTCAGTGACGTGCCCACCGGCCAGTGTGTTTGCATTGTCAATAAAGACACCAAGGCAAAAGCGTTATACGCCAATATTGGTGCGTCTGCTAAGCTATCCGTCGATCATCTTAAAAAGGCTGAACGTGATGAGACACAGGTCTTCCTCCGTCCAATCGAACGAAAACAGATACTCTACGTGGAAGGTTTCTTCGTACCGCAACGCCAAGAAGTCTGTGACTTCATTGTTAAGAATTATATCCGAGAGCGGCGCCGTTTAGCAATTAATTTAAACGCTGAGTATATTATAAAAGAAAACTTTAAACACTTGCGCGAGCTCGCGCATGCAGCATATTTCATATTTGGTAATCATAAGGAACATATGGCTTTTGCCAAGCAACTGGGCTTTGAATCGATCGATGATGCAGCCAAACATTTGATGGAGGAATGCAGCGAACCTAAAGTTATTGTTGTGACCAATGGTCGTGAGTGTGTGCAGTTGATTACAAATTACGAAGATGAATACTCACCTCCAGGTGCTGTGATGTTTCAATCTTTTCACGTGCCACGTGTAGATCAGGTTGTCGATTCAACGGGTGCTGGTGATGCATTTGTGGCGGCTTTCTTACACGCATGGCTACAGAAGCGTCCGTTGAGCGAATGTGTGCGCGTGGCAAGTGAAGTAGCGGCCAAAGTTGTGACTGTAGTGGGTTGTAATCTACCATAAAAATATGATTGACTGGCGATAGTATCGAGAGCGTGTATATAACAGAACAGCTATGAAACTTAAGGTACACTCAATTGTACCGAATTATCTACAATCTACTCGACGTTAGGCTAAGCAAACTCGTGCTTAGCTCATATACACATTATACAATATGATTAAGGTTGTAGCCGTTGTCCCGTGCACTTAAAATTCTCGTCTGCCCTCATTAACACTTCATTGTTCATAGTATAGTACATGATAAGGCTTTGTAAATTGGTCTCAATTCACGGCATAATTCATATTGTTGTAAATACTTTCGCATTGACTCATCTTTTTCATGTTTCATCCGGCACACAAAGCAATATAAAATGGGAATTCTGATAAATAAACAATAACGAAGTATGCACCATTAAAAGTACTTAAGCTCTATGTATTCAAGTGTTCCTTTTAAGCACACCACACTCATATTGACATCCATCTAAGCGATACACGAACTCATAAATGTATTTGGACTGACATACCTTGCATGTGTGATGACTTTCTAGCCGTGAGTGGGTAGCAATTAAACGATGCAAAATTCGCGCGCTACTGTCACTTCAATCTCCATAAATTATTATATATTTGCCCTTTCTGCTTATAAAATAGGTTATTTATAGAATCTCTTAAAAATGACTAATAGTTTAGAAATAGCGCAGCCACCTTAAAAATTTAGATGGAAGTACTCATGTTTTTAATATATGCTTCCACACTAAAGGCATACAAATAAAAGGTGCACTGCAAAGCTAATTAGGCTGGTTGCGTTTAAACATTCGTAGCAGTATCATAAGTCACACTTTTCATACTGCGCTTTATTTGAAAGTATTTTGCTCCCACTTTTTTTTATCTAGTTTGCCTTGTGTTAAACTAATTAGCGATACATATTTGCACAAAATATATGTATGTATAAAGTTGAGTAAATATAATTTTATTTTCATGACCTTACAGACTGTATTAATATCGCTTTTAGATACATATAACATTTCAGCCCCTTTTCCCACGGTGGAACTTTCAATAATTCATCCAGTATGTGCATACATACATATATGTATAAGTATTTATACATATGAAACTTACAGCCTTATTCTGTATCACGAACGATAGGCAACACGAACGGTTCGTTTGCAGAGGAATGCTTCAAAAATTTGTCTGGCGGCATCATTTTAGCCGGTTTAAACGCAACCGAGGCCATTGCAACGTAATGTATGAAATGCAAGACGAAGACGACCGATAGAGTTTAAAATCGCAATCAGAGAGGTCTGCAGACGAATCGTTCGTTTTGCTTATCGTTCGTCATACAGAAGAAGATTGTTAATTTAAATTTTGTGGTTGTTTTTACTCAAAAGTTAGATTTTAATGTATACATATGTATTTTTTTATACATTAAAAGTACATTCAAAAGTTATTTTAAATGGTTGCAAGTGCCTTATACATATACATACATATGTATAAATCAACTGTATAATAACGAACAAATTTTTATCGCAAAGCAATAACGGAAATCTTGACCAAATGATTACAATAATAAAAACATGTATTGTATGTCAATGTAAAAGAATAGTAACTAATACTTAAAAGAAAATGCTTAAATAAAATATCAAGTTCTTTTTATTACTATAAAAGGCGTTTATATATTCTTAAAAAAAGTGTATTAAGGGCTGCGTCGAATAAAATTTTCCGCTAATAATAATGATGATTTTAAAATCTAACATGATTTTCAAAAACGAAAGCATTATATTTTTAGAACTAACTATCTTATATAAAATGGTAAAACACAAGAACTCTTTATGCTTTAAATGCTTTGGACGCAACTTCTCAATTGACAACTTCTGCAAAATATAGCATTTTAGTTTAAATGAAACCATTTTCAAATTAAGCGAAACCTTTTTCAAATTAAATGAAACCTTTTTCATGTTAAGCGAAACCTTTTTCAAATTAAATGAAACCTTTTTCAGATTCAGTGAAACTTTATTCAAATTAAATGAAACTTTTTTCAAATTAAATGAAACTTTATTCAAATGAAATGAAACTTCTTTTTTGGATTACTTTGAATTACCTGTTACGTGTTGCTTCTCTTACGGTCAAGGCATGTTAAATACAGTGTTGCCGTTTCGGTCCAATTGGACCAAAATTGGTGGTTTCATTTCTTAAAATAAAGCTCTGGTAGGTTGGTTGGTTTGCTGTGATTTTCGAGTGGTTTTGGTACCTAGGCAAATCATATAATTTATTCATTTTATAAAACTTCAAATATCTCTGTTTTCGGGAGTACATGTAAAGGATGATGTGAAAAGGAAAAGAGAAATGGGCGTGTCAAAATTATTCTTGAACCGAAGTTGAATGTTGCCGTGATTAGACTGTGCTCTAATCCATAGGGTTTGTTTAAGTTAAAAGAAAATAATTAGACAATTGTTATGCAAATGCCAAAGTTTACATTTCGCTTAAGCGAGTGAGTGAGAAGGGAGAGTAATTGTGTGTGCTTTTACGTAGAAATCAAAAACCAACAGACTTCTACATATGTAATGCTGTGCGTTGGGTAACAGCTTACACGCGAAGCTCATTTAACAGATTCCTTATGTGACAACTCTCAAGCAATGCCAAATATGCATAACAGAGCCTTTAGTGTTAGCCAGACATGGCGCAAACGGCTATTAATAGGTTAAGTTGATTTCCTGTTCCTTAATTTAAAAATGTTTAATACTTAATTTGAATAAAGTTTCATTTAATTTCAAAAAAGTTTCATTTGGTTTGAATAAAGTTTCAGTGAATCTGAAAAAAGTTTCATTTAATTTGAACAAAGTTTCATTGAATCCGAAAAAGGCTTCATTTAATTTGAAAAAGGTTTCGCATCATCTGAAAAAGGTTTCAATTAATTTGAAAAAGGTTTTGCTTAACCTGAAAAAGGTTTCATTTAATTTGAAAAAAGTTTCATTGGCATCTGCTTTTCGAAGAGGGGTCGTCTCATACTGGATATAACAGGATCAGATTCCTTCCTGGTCATTTTTCGAGTGTTATGCTCGCGATACCATTTGTTGCAAGCTTCCTGGGCTTCCTCAGAAAAATGTCCTACTGACAAAGGCAATACCAAATGTCATGCAAATTTAGAAATTTTGTAAATTCTTGGGCGCCATATTGGATACAGAAGAATAACAGATGTGTCCAGTAAGGAAGGGCGTAATATTCGGTAACGATAACTTCCGATAATAGCCTTCGGAGTTGCCATGAATGCGAACCTCTAAATAGCCCAGTTCAAAAAAATTCAACAATTTATTTAAATCTCGGACACCATATGGCATTTTGAATTTTGAATTTTCTGAAACTAGTTCGAAATTTAATTTAATTTTAATAAGCGAACTTAAGAACCTCAAAATGCCAAATTTCATGAAAATTTAGTATTTTTTTTTTTAATTCTTAACACCTACTGGATTCGTTATTTTCGGTTTTTGAAAATTTACTTCAGGTTTGTCGAGACACATCTTATAAATAATACGATGCTAAATATAGAAAAATTACATTAATCCGTAGTGTTTTATATACTTTATGTTATTTGGAATAACTGCTAAAGTTGGTCTAGCGTAATAAAAGTGGCCGCCACTCTTTTTGGCGCGAGTATATGCGGCTTTTCTTTTCGTAGATCCTGAACGGACCCCTTGCATTACTTTTTGGTAAAGGAATGAAGATCCTACTCTGTCTACTCAGTAGTTATACCGTTTTGAAGAAAATATTTCTTGNCGGCTATTATTTTCATACATTTTAAAGGAACCCTTGCACTACTTTTTGGTAAAGGAATGAAGATCCTACTCGTGCCTAAAAATTTGTTATACCGTTTTGAAAAACATATTTCTTGAACGATAATCCGTGTTATTAAGATATTCATAATTTGGCAACAAAATTTTTGTATGTAATATCTCATATGAAATCATCATTTTCCATCTTTAAGAAGTAACACTAAACCAGCAACTACTGTTAAAATTTAAAGTTTCCATAAAAAAAATTGTTAAGAAAGCTATCAACTCACAACTGTTAGAACAAGCCACGATCGAATTCGTTGAATTAAATGGATTCATCGGCTCAGCACATATTATTAAAAATACTAACCAGCTTTGAATTGATGATTATATCCGACACTTTTTTGTCGCCCGATGGTAACTTTCGGCGCCATATGTCGAAAATCCATTGAAGCGAAGGAATTAGCAGCTGCGAATGGAATTGTGGGTGGCCGAAAAAACCAAGAAAATAATTGTTTTTCCAAGCACTCAGGCATTGTTGCCCATTGTACTTAAGGCCTAAAAACAGGATTTAGGGGAAAGGAATATATAGGTAAGTTGGGAATTCATTACTCCTCTGCAAACTTTCCAGATTCCTTTATGAAACTTAGCAGTTTTTTGAGGGAAAGATAATGTATATCGTCCATTCCCAATACGTCCGACCAAAAAATGTACCGTCTAAGTCTGGCAAAGGTCGGCCAGTGAGAGAGAAGATGTTCTCTCCTATCCACATCCTCCAAACAAGACAAAACTGATCGTCGATGAGAGTTCTGCTGACCATATGCCGCTCCCATCGAGTCTGCGCCGTAATCAGTCCTATCAGCGCTCGTAGATTACTCCTTTGTCTGAGAAGGAATTTTGAGACGACTCTGTTAGGCCTCTTCAGGAAACACTTTGTGGTGTGACAGATGTCAATATCACAACAACGGCTCTAATGAGTTTTATATATGAGATCTTTGATGTACCCGATCGTTCCCGCTATGCTTGGCCCTAAAATTTGCTCCGGTCCAATTGGACGCTCGAGTGAACCGCAATTCCTCAATCCATCAGCCAGTTCGTTCAGTCAGTTCAGTTTTTCTTATGAGATCCTTGATGCACCGGCTCGTTCCCGCAGTGCTTGGCCTCAAAATCGGCTCCGGTCCAATTGGGCGCTCCAGAGAACCGCAGTTCGCCAATTCATCAGCAAGTTCATTACCTTGAACACCGTAGTGTTCTAACACCCACACAAGTTCTAGTTCACTCCACTCCAACAGAGTTCGGCCTAAACTTACATTCCCGGACTAACTTTGAACAGGTGCAAGCGGTTTCCAGGACCTTTAGAGCAGCTTGGCTGTCACTGCAGATTCTGATTTTATGTCCGCGCCACCTTTCGCCAATTATCCAGTCTGACACTTTCAGTATTGCAAAGACTTCATATCTGAAGTTACCGCCCAGATGCCATCCAGCTCCAGTACCATTTTCAGTCCTTGAACCGTCGGTATAGAAAGTTTTCACTGCCTTGTCGGAAATCTAACGATTTAGTTTCTTCCAAAGAAGACTCCTGGCATCAGTTTGTCATTAGGCGACAAGAACAAAATTTATTGCTTTGACAACCTTCTAAACAGCTCCCTGTGCCCGGAACTCCGATCGTCGTGCCACTATCTAAAGGAGTACAATCGACACACCGTTCCCATTGCCTCCAAAAAGATCGTTAAATCCAGAGGTGGCAAATCCAACAAAGCATTAAGAGCCGGCCCTGTCGTTGTAGTCATGGCGCCCGTATTGCCTATACATACGCTCCTTTCTAGTCAGTTTAAGAAAGGAACCAAGGTTTAGAGCATAGTTCTGTGCAACCATAGTACAGCAGAGTACGTGATGTTTGGTCTGACCAAAATTAGGTATATTCAGAATACTGTAGCATGACAGCTAAGCAAAACAAAATGTTCACACAATATTAAGTAAAAAGTTCAATATACTTTTGGCAATAACTAGGCCAAAGTACTCAAATCAATTTAGCTTGCGCTGCACTTCTCCAATAACATAAACTCGATTGAACCCATATACATTTATGTATGCATGCACAACAACGTAGAATCATAAGCATGACTAACAACTTAGAAATGTAAGTTTGTAAATTAGATTACTCATAAGGTAGATTGTAAGCATATAAAAGAACGGCGATGAGCCGAATAAAACATTCCA